TAATGAATTTTATCATTGGGTAAGAAATTATCAATTAAATGATAATAATAATGATGGAAAAATGAACATATCTATTGTAACTTGATTTTTTTATTTTCATTTATTCAATGCATTCTTAAAAAGATTTTATTCTATAGAAAGATCGTTTGAATTCAATGATTAAAACAGCGACGAAAAAATGGTCAAATGAACAACGTGAAATTCAAAATTCTTCAATGCATTCATCTCGAACAAAAATATTTGTAAATTTTATGAAAAATTATACAAATGAAAGAGTTTATGTTGATATTCCAAATAATGTAAGTTATATTCGAAATTCAAATATATGAAATCATAGAGTTATATTACAGTTATGATATTAGATAAAAAATTATATTTGATATCTTATTAGAAAAAAAAGCTAGTAGCGCTATCTCTGTGAGATCAAAAAGTGAAACACGATGCAGCTACTGTTGCTGATCAGAGAAAGATTATTTTATTCTGTCAATTTTGAGACACATTTGTTCACCATATTTAATCCTCTAGAAATGCAATAACGACATAGCTCATGTGTCAGAATGAGATGTTATTGATATACGATTTTTGATCGTATATCGACATCCGTTACAGCAAGGTGGGACATTGCTAAGACGTCTGTCATAGTCTGTGATAGTCTTTGACTGGCGTATGTGACAGTCTCTGTCTAGTACCTGTCATATCTATGATTGTCTCTGACTAGCATCTGTCACGGCCTGTGACAGTTTTTGAATGACATTTGTTACGGCCTGTAACGGTCCCTAACTAGCGTTTGTTATGGGCTGTACCGATCCTTGAATAGTATCTGTCACGGTCTGTGATGATGTCTGGCTAGCGTGTGTCACGGTCTATAACGGCTTCTGAATAGCGTCTGTCACGAACGGTGATGGTATCTGAGTAACGCCTGTGAAGGTCTTTAACTAGTGTCTGTCACTGTTTATGGGGATCCAGACTTTTGCCCTTATACTTCAATATTCCTTCTAAATTATGTTTCACAAAAAAAAGAACGAAACTTTTTTAGACATGGCCAATTGATGAACCAATAACAAAACATGAACCAACAACGATGGAAACCAATATTCCTAATCGACCAAAAATGCCATCACCATTTGATCGATCAAAATTAAAAGAACAAATAAAAACGAAGCGAACTTGTTCACCACTTGATCTATCAAAAATGCCAGAAGAATGTGATCAATTATTAAATCTTCAACCAATTATTCATCAACAACAAGAAGAAATACTTGATGAAGAAATTGATTGTGGTGATTTATTTGGTAGTAAGTATTTGTATGATTTCTTTTTCTTGTAATTGAAAAGAACAATACTATTTTTTAGCTGGTTCAACATTTGATATAACATGTACACATTCAGAATCAATTCTTCCAACAACACCACATTCAATACAAAATGAATCAATACATGGTCATGTTGGAAATTCTAATGTTATTATTAATGATAATAATGATAATATTGGAAATTTTAATGTTACAATGGATGATCTATTTCCAGCATCTCAAACATCTCATTCATCACCAACATTACAATTAAATGATATAAAATCTCAACAAAACAATGTTTTTGATGATGATGATATGGATGATGATGAATTATTAGAAGCTTTTAATAAACATATGGAATCATCACCAAAACAGATAACTAATCCGAGTCCTGTATTAATACTTACTAATAGAGTTAACACACAAAATCAAGAAAATATTCACACAGCTGATATAACATTACCAAAATTTGATTTAGAATTTAGTTTTGATGATCTTGATAACAGTGATGAACAAATAGACAATGTACTTGACATGTAAGTTTTCATTTATAATTCTTCTTAGAAGAGAATGTGCTTCGATCTTGATGAAGTATGAAAATTTTGAAAAAAAAAAAGGATTTGTTCTTGTTGACCTTTCTTTTTTCAAGTTATGATCACTATGCCACACTTTGGACTTGCCAAAAAATATATATCGGAAAATTTTCAATAAGAGATTTTTGGTTTAATTTGTTGACTATGCATAGACCGCAAAGTCACTGAAATATTGTAGAAGTTTTAGTCGAAATCAATGATTTCCTGTTGAGATAACAAGTTTTTAAGGTATCTCAAGATTTTTGAATTAGTAATAAAATCATGCTTGTTACAAAGTTCGATTATCTCAACACGGTAACTTTAGTTTAGGCAGCGAGTTTAGAACATATTAGTGACTCTGAAGTTTACACATAAGTAAAATATCAAGTTAGAAATATCTTAGCCGAGTTTCTTTTAGAAATACCTAACAACAAGTCGAAAACGCAGTAAAATAGTCATGCATCGATAAAGAATGTCGACACGAACAAAAATTTTTCGTGCCAAAGTCTTATGACAAACAGATGCAGCTACATTGAACAACTGTCTTCTTGTTAGTTTCGCTAATGATATCTTCGTTTGTAATTTATGATTCTAGCGTTAAGTACAATGATTGAGTCAAATAAAGTGATAAAAATGTTCTATTTCAATCTGGTGAATATATCTATAGTATAATATATAATTCATTTAATCCAGTAATTCTGTTAATAAGAGAATTAGTAAATTAGACATATATTTCATATACAGAAACAGATGACGGAGGGAAATATCCGGGGTGTCCGTCTCCATTTGGATTCATTTATACATTATTCGGTAGATTATACTGAGGTAAGAAAAAGCCTTCAAGGATTCGGAACCATCCTACTGGCGAACGGTTGTAATCATTATTGAGAGCCACTCATTTCGAAAAAAAAAACCAAAATGATCTATTTATTGGCTAAAACTCTTCATTTTGGTTTTTTCCGGAAAACGCTTTGGGTACAACCCTCGTTAGTCTTTAATCGCTCATATAAAACATTACAGATGATAATTATTAGGAAGAAATGATAGACAATATAATTTAATACTTGAAAAATGTGATATAAATCAACAGAAAAATCAAGTTTATTTATAAACATTAATTTTAATGTTAATAATATTCGAACATTTTTTTTTGTTTTTAACGGCATCAGTTTCTATCTTGATGAATTAATGGAGTAAATAATGAATCATTTCGAAAACGAAGTTACTGTAATATCTTATACCTGGACAACTATATTTTTTGTTATAGATAGACCTTCTAAAGTTACTCATTATGATAACAAATCATACGAGTACATTTTTAAATTCAAGAAAAAAAAAAGTTCAATTCTCGTTTTTTGTGTTCAATTTATTCATGTTTAGTTTAGTCATAATTACTAACTATCGAATGTAAGATGATATATGGGTTCGAATTGATTCTTTATAATCGAATTCAAGTCTATGTTTCGTGTTGCACTATAAAGGTTGACATTAATGAGATTTATTGTCTTTTTTTTCAAATTCTATTTTAGTACTAAATGTGAAACAACAAATAAAAATAATATAACAACATGTTCCGATAAATTTGAAACACCCATTCGACGAGTTCCATCTAAAAAACGTGTTCGATGTCTTTCAACAACAACACCTGATATACTTGAAAGAAAAAAATCTAAAAGTACACAAGAACTCAACATTAAACAACAAGAACGACATTTTCATCGACGACTTGCATCAAATTTTCTTGATCGTGAAGCTATTGCTGATGAAACATTATCTAACACAATATCATCTGATGAAGATGAAAATGATGATGATGATGATCATAATAATAATAGTCTAAATGAACATGATCATTTTATTGATGATCGACAAGTTCTAACACAAATGGCAAATATTGATATGACAAGTGTATATTTAAAAAGTATAAAAAGTCCAAAAGTTCATTTTCGTCCACCACCACCACCTATTCCAATTGAAGATATTTATTCTCAATTACCAAATATGACAATGCATGATGATAATTATGATCATAATGATAGTTTTGTTGATGATACAACACAAATAATAGATGATCATCATGGTGAAGTTGATTTTGATGAACTTGCAAATATTCTTGGTACTCAATCAGTTGTACATCGTCAAAGTAAAGTAACAAGACGTGGAGTTAAATTTGGACGAACATCAGAAACAACAACACCGCAACGAAAACCAACACGTCGTGTTCAAATAGCACAAAGTCCTATGTAGTTGTTTATTTAATATCTTTATTGTTTATTGTATATTATAACTATTTTTTTTTTCTTTCATATTACAATTTTTTTCGGTGGTGATATATTTTCTTTTTTTTTTCTTTTCTTCTTGTTATCTACGTATAGTTCTATTTATTATAAAGATGATCCACAAAACGTTGCATACGATAGCTAAATAAAAAAATAACCAACGATAAGCAGAATAAATTACTGAAAAGTAAAATTTAATTTTCTTTTTTCCTGATAAAAATAATTTTTTATTTAATTTTGAGAAAAATAAAATACTTTTATAATCTTGTAATTTCGTATCATGGAATACGATGTATTATTCGAAAATCATTTGATTAGAAAAGCTGTTGCCGCAGTCCTTGTGGGATTAAAATATGAAACACGATGTAACTACTGCTGTTAATCATAGAAGAGTACTTTATTTAATCTATTTTCGGACACATTTCTTCAGCATACTTTTACATAATTATCCAGAAATATAATAATTTTCATTCCATGCAGACATATTTATTTCTTTATCCTTAATTTATCTCTCATAAACTAATAACATGCTATCAATGCACATGTTTTGTTTTTCTCGTCGGTCATGCTGTAACTGGTTGGACGTTCGTTGTAAACATTCTACATTCAGTGAAGGTTATAGTATCGTTATTTGCATATCTTGACGGACGGATAAAAAAAAAAAGAGAATTTGCCTCCGAGAATAAACATGTGAAGCGTCATTCCATGCAAAATAAAAATAGAATATGTAATCGAGGCCAATCGCTATCGATGTATAGTTACGCGTATATATCTAATCGTACTTTTTGTTTTCTCGTTTTACATTTCTTCGTAGACATTTTATTCGTATAACTATTTGTTCAAATCTATTGAATATGTCGAATCCAACTTCGCCTACTGTAAAATCACCAGCAAATGCAGCTCAAATACATTCAACACAAACTGAAAATGTTCATGTACAATCGGTTATTCAAAGTGAAACTCAATCCAAGGTTAGCATTGCAAATAACAAGAAGGTAGCAGATCTTATGGCACGTCTTGGTAAATTTCATATAAAATTAAAATAATAATTCAAAACAAAAAAAAAAGAAAACAAATCTTTTACGTTTCATTTAAGGAACAACTTATCTTCAAGTTGATAAATATTCACGTAAACGTACTGAGGAAATTAATGAAGCTGTGGCTGAATCGATTAAAAAAGTTGTTGCTGATACACAATTACAACAACAACAACTTCTTACTGATGCAAATTTACGTACAAATGGTAAATTTCGTTTTTATTTGTTTCTATTGTTGTGTTTTCTTAGTTTATTTCTTTTTTTTTTAAGGAATTGAAGATGAATTTAGATTGAGATTACAAGAATATGTTGCTAAACTTGATAATGAAAAGGCAACTGTACTTGTTCAACTTGAAAGAGATCTTGATGTTCGACAAGAAGCTATACTTGAATCGGCTCGTAAACGTATTGATGATCTTAACTCAGAAGCTAATCGTCTAAAAATGGTTAATTCAACGTATAACTATCAGCACAGATTAAATAATAAGACAATCATTTCCTTTGATTTGAACACTTCGATATTCATTCTATGGTCAATTGTCTAGTTGCGATTTTCTACAGATATCTATCGATTTATTTAAGTATTTACTCATGAATAATCGATTCTAAAAGTAAAGTATCTAGTGCTAATGGATAGAGAATTTTGTGCTATATGCTTCCACGATCTTTTCAAGATTCTGACTGCTATCGTTTAGGAGAAAAAGGCTTGAAACTAACAACTATAATGGTGGACATAAGTTTAGAGCAGTTTTATTCTTAAGTTTTCTTCTTGATGGCAATAGCTAGGAAGAATCTGAAAAAATCTTTAAATAGTTGAAAGAATTCTTTATTAGAATTGGTAAACCTAAAAATTGCTTGTATGACGATGTCTGAAAAACCAAGACCCCCCCCCCCCCAAAAAACCAATTTTCGAACATCTATTTGAAGCTTTTTCGAAATGGCTTTATTTGATAGACCATCTCGGTTCTTTTCATAGTGCTCCTTCATCGAACTGCATTCAATTTGTAGAAGGTTCTCAAGCGTCAAGTACGGCAGCATCATTGAAATTTTTCATAAAAACAAAAAAATAGTTCTTGGACCTTCTATAAATTGAATACAATTCAATGAGGAAGCATCATGGAAACAGACGAAGCATCTCATTTTGCTCTATCAAATCAAACCATTTCCTAAAAACTTCAAATGAATGCCAGAAAACGAGTTTTGGAGATCTTAATTTTCTAGACATCATCATCCAAGCAGTTTTATTAGAGTTTTTACGTCTGCCAATCCTGATATAGAATTGTTTCAGCTATTCAAATGTTTTTCCAGATTCTTCCTAGCTATTACCATTGAGTAGGAAACTCAAAAATACAATTGCTCTAAATTTTTGTCCATTACTAGAGTGATATTTTTGGACTCATTTTGAAAAATCATGTTTTCGAAAACGAGATTTGTTTTAGAGCTCGGATCTATACTTTTATACTTATACTTAAGCACGAAAAATAGAATTTTGTATTTGTCCTATCTCTGCTTGTTGTATAAAACGTTTATTCTGATATCGTCGGTTGTAGAATTTAATATTGAATAAAATGATACGACAGTTTAGAAAAGGTTATCTTTAAGTATTTTCTCATTTTTCTTTCTCGCAAATATTTCTCATAAAATTCTGAAACATATGTCCGAAAGTAGAGACTTTTGAAAGTGTATCGACGTGTTTCAAAAAAAAAAAGGAAAATGCATTTGTCCTATTTAATCGTCGCCATCTGTTATAGTCTTTTTCCTTCTAAATCTCTTTTATCCGTTGTTTTTTTTCTTTCTAGAATGTTCTTAAAGAATGTCAAGCTCAAAGCAGTGCACAAATTAGTAAATATCTTGAGTTATTTAATTGATTTATTATTTATTATTTATTTTTATAATAGCCAAAATTACTGAACAAGTTGCTGTTCTTGAACATGAAGACGCATCACGTCGTCTTGCATCGACCACTACAACAGTCTATAGACTTTGTTTTTGTTTAGTTTCTTTAAAATTATTTTAATCGTTTTTTATAGACTATTACAACTAAAGCCGTAGCTGCCGGTGAAGGACATGTTCATGATCATTCAGTAGCACATGACAAGCCAACAACACATGTTGAAACATTGAAATCATCAAACAGTTCATCAGCAACATCTACTGAATCTTGTCAAAAATAAATCAGAACAAAAAAAAGAAACTTTTGTTGTTATTTTGATTCTATTCATCAATAAACAAGAAGATTTATAAGGAACAAAAAAAATTTGTATTTTTTAATTTTGAAATTTCATGACAAAGAAGTTTGATTTAAACTAATCTATTTTTCATTCTAAACTACTAAAAGATTATCGTACACTTGAATTTTGAAGAAAACACTTGATAGATAAATGCAATGAAGACAGTCTTCGTTTAATTCTCTTATCAAATGAACATTGTTCGTCTTTTTTTTTCTTCTACTTGAAATGATTATCAATAAAGAAACGAGACAAAAGCTATTGTAAAATATCAATGAACATATCTGTCTTATCAGTGACCATATAAAAACAGCAGTTCACAAGAGAAATTTCATTGACATCAACCTCTAATATTCAATCCATCATGAATGCTAAGTAAGAATTTTCTTTTGATAAAAAACAAAAAAGAAGATCAACAAAAATATCTTGACATTCGTTGTTTTTTTCTTATGCAGATTTTTAATCTTCTTCATCGTGTCTATTACATTATGGGAAATAACAAAAGCACATGTTATTAAAGATCAAGAATTAGTGACTGTTGTTGATCAATGTAATTTATTTTATTTCATTTATCCAATGATTTATTGTTCTTGTTTTTTTTAAATAGCTACTCCTGTCGTTGTCGATACTTTACCTAGCAGTGATGACACTGTATCTTCAGTAATTACAACAAATGAAGAGGAAAAATTATCTGTACAATTAGTTGAAGAAGAAAAAAATGACACATCAAATATTCAAGTTGATGGTGATGATTTCAATAGACAAAATAATGAAGAATACAATTTAACGTCGACAGTAGATGCTGACAAAGTTGTCTCGGGACCTTTAAATGATAACAAGGACGTTGATGAAATATTCTCAACACATTTAAATGATACCAAGGACGTTGACAGCGTCAAATCAACCATGGAAGAAGACGAAAAGGAAACAATGCTGGAAGATGCACAACAATCATGTAATGCAAATGAAGAAGAAACAACAACATCAACTACTGATAGACCTTCTCAAGTTGAGGATGTAGATGAAGAGGAACAAGATGATGTAGTAACAAATGAAGATGATCATGATAATGTTGATTAATAATGATTTACCAATCTTGAGTATAACTCATTTTTTTATTTCTTTTTCTTTTTTCTTTCTCTGTAGGTTTGTTAACTCTAAAATAGAATCATTTAAATATTGTGTTATCATTCATAATATTAATCATAATAAATTAAAATTTCGTTTTTGGTAAAATTTTCATTTTGATTTTAATGAATCAATCAATAAGATATTTAATAATAGCTTTTCATATATTCTGTGAGTCAATTGCTTTCAAGTAATTGATACAGAAACATTCGTCATTCGAATGAAAATTTATCGCCTGTCTTGAGTATCTACGAATTTTGAATTAATAAAAGACATATAATTGTGCGAAATTCTAATTAAAATGAATATCTGCAGACATCAGAGAATATTCAATTGTAAGAAAAGCCAATGAGTCAAATAAGTTATTCTATGACTATAAGACTATGTTATCTAGTCAAGAAGAATTGAATTGTATTCGACTAATGTTAACCTATTTTGCCGAACCATTATTCAAGTGCAATTCATTCGACTTTTGATAGGCAATGAATAGTTGTTATACATTTCAACTTATTCAATTAACTTCTATAAATAAGGATTAGAGTTACTCGATTGATATCATCACTGTAATCTATACATGTTCATGAAATAGATCCGCCCATATATTAGAAGGGTAGAGTCTTGCAAAAACATCCATTATTTAAATCTATTTAACTCTTTTTTTTGTTCGTTGAAATATTGCTGAATCATGTTTATTGAAGAATAGAAGAAAAAGTAATAGTTTATGTATGTATAATGGGAATATATTTTCTTCAGACGAAGAAAAATGCTATCATTAGTTGGAATGAAAAAGATAGAGCGATTAATATTAAAGTTCATTGCTATCAGCAATAATATATATTTAGTGAATATATAAAATATGGAGAAATAACTTTGTGACGATGAAGATTCAAATTTTGATAATTATAACAATTCTAATGATGATTCAAACTTCGATCATTGATCAATGTGAAAATGAATTGGTACGTTCATTAACATATTATCAATCGAAATCTGAAAGCAATAATAAAGAAAATGATAGTCGAACAAAAAGAATGTCATCAATAACAATAAAATGAAACAGTTCCATTCATTAAAAACTGAAATTCAACTGTAGTTCGTTTTTTTTTTGGTATTTGAAACATAATCATAGTGAACTAACTAAAATGTGATAACGATATTTGATTCTTTATTGCTTGAGACAATTTATATTTGCAGAGCCAAGATTGGTGAGAACAAGTAGTTAGAAAATCTCAATGATAATTTTGAAGAAGTATGAAAAATACAATAGCTGAGACATTGTTTTATACTCGTAATTAATGAAAATTTTTGTTTAAGATAAATAATAGCATATGTGAATGATTCTTATGTATTGGTATGTTTGAAAAGTACAAAATAATTGTTGCAAACGTAGTAAATTATATTTGAAGTTAGCCATCCGGAAAGAAAAAATAATTATTCATATGAATGCATGTATAGAAGAATTCAATCAACTTGAATACCTCAGTTAGTTTTTCTTCTCTAGACATAAATGGTATATATGAAAAGTATGATTTTTGTATCAACTGTAGTACATACATTACCGTGATCGCTTGTTTTTATTTGAATCTTGTCTCTTGTAAATTAAAAAATTTGTCGAAAACGTTCTCAAAATCATTTAATCGAAGATGTATGTGTAATTAAAAATTTTTAAGAAAGATCTCGACAAACATATCTGTTTATTTACAAGAGACAGAACGTGAATACAGCAAATGATCAACATTATGCATGCATTATAACTGATACAAAAAACATTATTTTTCGGATATATGGTTCTAGTTACAGGAGAGAAGTAACAGAGATATCCTACTTGACCAGGTACCTCCATATGTATATATACATTCTCCTGGTAGCAGATTAATTCATTCTGTTATAAATAAATCAAATTTGGATCTTTTTATTTTATATTTCAATAAAAAGATATCATTATATTTGTTTTCATTTATTACATTGGTTTTATGCAAACTATTATCCATTTCAAAATATAATGTGTTCTACTGTTTTTTTGAATAACTCCATAACGCAAGCAGCTAGAGATCTGTGATTTTCACCAATCGATGAAGGAGATAGGGGCATGCCTTTTTCTCTAATATTGTAAAAAACGAAATCATTTTAAAATCAGTCATTTCTACAAAATATCGAAAAAATATGTAAAAACGGTCTATCATTCAGATAAAATTTTGACAAAAAGTACGAAAATTTGCTTAAAAATCAAAAGAAACTACAGTTTTCGTGCGAGTAAATAGACGATTTTATTTGCTCAACATCAGGATATGGAAAGATAATCATTCCAATTATATCTTGAAGTATATGATCTGAAGTCCCTCTATCTAGATCACATGTCAAAAACAAAATTTCATCGGAATGACAGATCATTTTCATGCACATTTTGTAATATTTTGCAGAAATGACTGATTTAAAAATGATTTCATCTTATACAATATTGGAGAAAAAGATGTACTCCTGTCTCCTTAATTGGTTGGTGAAAACTGCAGATCTCTAGCTGTTGGCGTTATCGAGTAATTCGAAAAACAGTGAAGCATATTGTATTTTGAAATGGACAATAATATGCAAGTTAATGAGTCTATCAAAGTCATGCACAACATTATTTTTTGTTACTTCCAATTTTTTTTCTATTCTGGATCATTTATATAGAAGAGAAGAAAATCAACAAAGGCGTACACATTTTAAAAGCATTCATCCATTCGCTTTCTTATTTATCTAACTATCGTGATTGTATTTACACACTTTTATATGTATTAAGCAGAAAGAAAAATATATCACTAAAAATATTTTTCCCATATCTTCTCGTAAGGTAAGTGACTCATTGATTGAGTCAAAACATATTCATTTATCGTTTTAAATCATCCGTTACGACACTTAATCTACTTCTTTTTCGTTACGACAGTTTAAAAGAATGTCATCGTCCGTACGATTTCAAAAACTTCATAAGGATTTAATAATAATTAAAACATCGTATTTACCATCATTGCGTTCAATATCATTAATACTAAATATAATTTTATTTCTGGTTGTATGTATATTTATTTTATGTTTATTACGTGTTATTACTGATGAAAAATCAATTTCTAAAAAATCAACAAATAAATTAACAACACCTGATCAATCTAAGAAGTATAAAGATATTCCACGTAAAAAATATTATTATGATTATGAACCTTATCTTAACAATGTACCATTGAAATCAAATAATAAAACTCGTCGATTTTTTTATATTGATCTTGGATGTTTTGATGGTCGTGATATTGATTATTTTATACATTTTCATTCAGCAAATATGTTACGTTTAGGAACACTTAGTATTATTGCATTTGAACCTGATCCAATAAATTTTTCTGCCTGTAAACTAATACAACAACGGCATAAATCAATTCAAGGAACATTTTATGATGCTGCTGTTTGGACTGAAACTGGTCAAGTACGATATGCAACAGAAAAAGGACAAAAATCTAAAATAGATCCAAATTCCGCATTATTTGTTCGATCAATTGATTTTTCAACATGGATGATAGAAAATTTTCATGTTGATGATTATGTTTATGTTAAATTTGCAATTGAAGGTGCTGAAATACCTATTTTAGAAAAAATGGTTCTCGATCAAAGTTTAGCATTAATTGATGATTTAGAAATTGAATGGCATGAAGGATTATCACCTAATTTAGAACCACGACGTATTGCACTTGAATGTATGTTTGACAATTTTGGAATGGATTTTATTTATATGATCAAGCCAGTTGATTTAACACATGCTTTCAATATTAAAGAGAAATATGAAGCTGTACTAAAAGATCGAGGATGGTATATTTTACAAAATATAATTTGCTCGTTTTCATTTCCATTTTCTATTTTATTTTTTTTTTAGGAGACTAAAAGATCCATTGACTCGATTTCATTATAAAACTCGAAAAGACGTACCCGATTTATTAATTGAACGATTAAAACAAAAACAAAAACAAAAACAAAAACAAGCTGTTCCTCATTGATCTAGTCAATAAACTCTAGTCATTCTTAACATCATTCTTATTAATTCTTTTTTTTATTAATATTTATATCATAACATCAAATGACAATAAGCAAATAAAACGAAAAAACAAAGAAGAAGAAGAAGAAGAAGAAAAAGGAGTTTGATCCACAACACACAAAGATAATAAAATGAGAAAAGCAGAAATAACATAAGATCAATTCGAAAGTGCACATTAAAAAAAATTTTTTTTCGTTTTCTTGTTTTGTTCAATACCAAGTACGATGTAAATAACGTGCTAAGCTGCCAAGCATATACTTGACTACATGGATAAATAGCACCCCATATCTTAGTCATAAAGTAACACAACCTTGCTTTTCTTTGAATGGATTTTCTCTTGCAAATCCAGCCCAACCACGAACTAAAACATCTCCACTTTCATGATCTTGACAAAATTTGATTAAATCTTTGCATACAATTGATACTTTAACACGTTCAATATTAGCTTCAGCTCGTAATTGTTCTACTAATTTTTGTTTATTAGTTATTGTCGACATTATATATCTATGTTCGTTTTAATGAATAATAATAAAATAATACGATTTAATTATAGACATCTTACTTACGATTTATCGAAAAGATTAATAAGAAAAATTTTAATCTACAAAAAGAAAAAAAGTCAAGTTAAAGCAAAGTTAAAAAACTAGAATAAATGAGTATAATGTTACACATCCTTTTTTTTCTCCTTCTCAGTGTGTGTGTAACTGAAGAACGTTCACAGGTTTTCATTTTTCTTTTTCTTCATCGTCTGCTTTTTCCTTAGTCAGAAAGAAAAGAAGGTGATCATTTTTTTTTCTTTCCTTAAGACAGGAAATTAGACAAACGAACAATGAGGTTATTTTTCAAAGCTATAGTCTCGTCTTCTTTTGCCTAATGTTTTCTTCTTCTTTTCTTTCTTTTACTTGTGTCATTTTGTCATTGACAACGTCATGAAGGATAATCTTTTCACGCTTATATTCATAGATAAATAGGCACAAGAAAATTTTTGATAGCAATATATCACGATTACTATTTCGTAAACTCGCATCTTTTTTTTCTTCTCTTAGGCCTATTGCCATCATGGGATCGAAAGAGCGAATAATAACTATCTATGTTCTATCATTCGCAATAATGACATTTGAACAAAAAAATGTCCTTTCTATTTGTTCAATCAAGCATATGAAAATCTAAAATAAGAAGAAAAAAAAATCAATAGATAAAAGAAAGAACATGTTATTAATTATACGTATAATGTCGACTATTTATATCTTTTTGCATAAATCTTAGAAATTTGTTCTTCTTATTCTTTTATCTTATGTATGTATAAAAAAGACTTATTTTTCAAGTATAAACTTAAACTATAACTTCATTAATCTTAGTAATTTAAATACAAAAAAAAAAGTACTATCTTCTATTATTCCTTTTCTCGAACAAAAACAAACCAAACTTTCATTAAAATATTTGTTCTGAAACATTAAACATATCTGTAACTCAATACATAATACAGTAATATGGAAGTGAATATCATCTATAAATATAAATAATTATTCTCTGCACGCTACTTTAATGGGAATTATTCACCTAACCGAAAAGAAACGGAAAGAGAAAAAACCTAAACATTAGCTTGTATGGATATATTTCCGCAATTCGATCGTCGTATGTACACAAAAAAGCCATCAATCAAACCACTATTCGCATAAACGATATAACAAAAAAAAAGAAAAAAAGCAAGAAATAATCATCATTCAATAAAAGTTGTAATTAGTTATTTTTTTTTAATCTCTAAAATCTCATTCAAATTAATATGAAAGAAAAGAATAAAACATATCACGAGAGACTTTTAGAGAGAAATATAATTTAAAAAGAAAAACAAAAGGCATAAGTAAATGAATTAAGTAGTAACCATGTTTAATATCCTAGATATAATAAATGAACGAGATTCAAAAAAAAAATTATTTTTTATTTTGTACCAAAATTGTTCGCTAGTTTGATAAATGCCGTGGTGCATTTGCAAACATAACCTTTAATTGATATGCTTCAGCTGTTAATATACTTATATCATTACTTGTCCATGAATGTGTTGGTAAATTTTGTAGCAGAAGTAATATACCCTAATGAAGATTTAAACAATAACAAAAAAAATAAGTAAAGAAAATCTTTTTTTTTTGTACTTGAAAATCTTTTTCACGTAAAAGATCTTTGGAAAAACGAACAAGAAATGATGCACATATATACAAATGAAATTGTGAAAATCCATTTTGTTCAGACTAGAAATAAATTCTTGTTTAGTTTATTATTTTTATTCTTCTTACAAAAAGAATTACATACAAGATATGTATCCCAAAGACGAATTGTACAACGTACAGGTAATTCACGCATAAGTAAATTATTCATCCAACGAAAAGCAAATTGTAGAAATTCGATATGTTGATTTTTTAAATGTCGATATAATGGTTCTAAATTAAAAATACAAAAATTCTCAATAAAAAAGAAAGAGATTTTTTCTTTTTCTTTTTTTTAACAAACCATCAATGCGTTTAACAAGTTCTTCAAGTGTTCGAACTTTATATTGTATACCGGGTTGAGCAAATGTATAATTATCTTGAATACCCTCGAGTAAATGTGATGTAGCCCAATAACTATCAGCTTCAACAATTTTTCGATTTGTTTCTGGTATTGAACTAATATCAAAATTTTCAATTTCAACATCTAATTTCAAAAATTATTTCACAATGAAACTTGTTTTCTTGTTAAAAACAAAAAACAACTTTAGCTTACCATTTTCAATAAATTCAGAAAGAAAAACAACAAAAAATGGTGTAACAAGATCATTAATACCTTGAACATAACCACTAGCTGGATGACGAATTGCCCATATAAATAAAATACGTTCAAATAATTCTTGCACAACAGTCTGTTGAAATATTGGCATTAGAGGATTCATTCGTGGAATGTCTATATGAATCTAAACAGGTAATAATTCAAATTTACTAATATAAAGATCTTCATATTATGTTAAACTTGAAAAGACTCTGGTTGGAAATAGATAAGTACTATCATAGATAAGACATTGACGTAAATATGAATTTTCAAGAGTTGGTTTTAGAAATGAATATGTCACAATACTCTGCAAATTAATCTTTTGAGTCCCATAGTAGCAAAAAAAAACTACAGATGTTTTATAATTATTTTTCCATAACATAATTTATAAAACTTGACATGTTGTCACTAGGAATAAGGCAATAGACAATCAACTAATTAATAGATAGATGCGCTTATATGACACTGTCTGTCAAAATTTGCTTTGAGATAATATACAATTTCACAATGAACAAGTTAAAAATCACAGAGAAGATTCTAAAATTCTTTAAAATTTACATTCAAATATAATAAAATTCATATAAAATCTTATATTGAACATGAATTATGTAAGCTCGCACGAAATATTTTTATTATAATTTAATGTAATGACTTGCTTCAACTCAATTCAATAGATTTCATTTGGAACTTAAAATACGAGTATGATGAAATTATAAGCATTCGCAATCATAGCTCGTTGTTTAAGAAATTTCATCATTTTTTGTGAGTTTTAATTTTCATCAAAACAGATGCAGTCGTAAAATTTGTGAGATATTTCTCCGCTTATATTAAATTAACAGTCATATTGTATTTTTTTTTCTGCACTTTTCAAAGAGAAAAAAAGCAAATATCACGTCCGTAGTTGTCAGTTCTCTATAAGATGGAAGTCATTAGGGAATAACTTTTACACATCTGAGTAATTAAAAAAAAATGTTTGACAAAGTTTTTTTCTTAATTGAATACCTGTCGAAATGTATCTTGATGTTCACTGTCAGTACGTGTATGATAATACTGACTAACATAAGACCAATATTCATTACGTTTTCTTGTTAATGTATCTTCTCGTCGTTCAACTTTTGATGGTAAATAACCCTAAAATAAGTATTGAATTAAAAAACAAGAAAAGAAATGCCAAATAAAGAAATCAATTATACACAAAGTAATTTCCATGCTTGTGCTCGATATTGTTTTGGAATACCATTCCAACTTGCTTTACGAAGTTCATCTAAATAAAAAGAATAATTTATTAAAAAAAAAAAGAATTATATCTTATGTTAAGGATTAATTTATACTGAGATCAATATTGCTTTGTTCAAAAATTTGTTTAAATTTATTTTCTTTTTGAATATCAATATCAGATTTTGTTATTAAATTCGATCTTGTATTATTTGTAGTAAGAGGAGAATTTGAATTATTATTATTATTATTAGTAGTAGTAGTATTTGTATATCGAATAGGTACTAATGGTTTTATATTTGGATAATCACCAACTCGACGTCCAATACCTGGACATGTAGTTGAACTTGCATTTGCTGTTTTAGTTGGTCTTCGTACTAGAATGAACAAATGAAATAATAGAAAAGTCTATGTAAGGATGTAGTGTTAGTGTAAATACTGACAGTGAATTAATGACATAGGGTCCACTATGACGCTGACATCTGCGTTTGCTGCAGTATTGAAATACTCTCTCTATCACAATATGTTCTTTTTTGTAGCGGTGTGTTCTAATACTTCAGTATGCACTAACGAGAAAACATTTTTAACTGATCGATTGCTTTCTCACTAACAATTGCTGGATTATGAGTTATTGACCAAACTGATTCGGAGTATGACTATATGAAATGCCCTTCTGGTTTTATAGAAAACCAGTTTTTGATCTACTTAGATTATAAAGTATATCGAGTTGCTTATAAGACAATAATCTTTTCTATTTTCTAAAAATGAATTCTAAGTAAAATAATACTATTTTAGAGGTTTTTACAGTAAGATGTTGATATATATCTGTTAAATGAATTAAAGTAGCTGTATTTTCTGTAAAATAAAACGATTAGAAATAGAAAAGATCATTGTTTTCTAGACAGCTCGATATGTTCTATAAGCTGGACTGATCAAAAAAAAAATCTT